ATGAGAAATAAAATGAACTTTTTTGATTTTAGCAAATGGCTGCAATGAAACAAAGAGTGAAAAATTTAAAGGGGTCTGAATACTTTCCGTACCCACTGTATGTGGCACCTCACAATCCTCTCTAGTGTTGGCCGTGGTTTTTTAATTGCATGAGAAATTCCAAACAAACTCATACAGTCTCATGAAGATTTTGAGTTGTGATTGAAAGCTCCCCAAAAAAATGTAGTCAGTGGTTAAAATAGTTTTGTCAAGCATCTCTATTTGCTTGTGTTTTCTGTATTTGTAATGTGCTTCCTTATGCCGAGTACAATGTGTGAGGTTTTGCATGTGATTTGTGTATTTACTGGTGTTTTCTTTAGGTGTAAGTGCACTGATGATCTCTCTCAGCCCCCATAGATCTGACTGTAACCTTTACCCCCACTATCAAAGCAGTTTCAAAACAAACCCACAACAATGGCTTGTTTGAATTAGGTGGCGACAGGTGTGTTGGAAATATTCAACATTTGGCACTACTATGTGTACTACTGTGGGTACAACAGTGATGTGAAAGTATGATTTACATAAAGACAGAACAGAACAATGGGAAGATTGGTCAGGTGAGAGCAGGGATTCTTACATTATTATAGTTTCAGTTTTGTCTATTGAGTTTAAAATGCAATGCCACCAAACCAACTTGCTTCCATACATCTTGATGAGAGTGTTGTAACACTTAGACATTCATTGCTTTAAAATGCCCTACAACTCGATTAGCAAGTTTCCACACCTTACAGAAAAGTGATAACGTGAAAATAGATAGTGGAGATTCCAGTTGTTTATCTGTGCCCAGGTCTGTCACATATTTTAACCACTCAACCTGCTCAGCAGATAACATGGAAAAGGAACAGGTACCTCTTCCAGGAATGGCAGCACCGCCATACCCCGGTCCCCCCGTGGGCTTTAACCCGGCCAACCAACCTCAGCCTGGCGTCCAAATTGGTAAGACTTTTTTAGTTATTCTTCTTTTAGATGGCAGCTTGTTTATCATTCTGTTCTAATCCTTTCTCAAATTAAATGTCTCCTTCTCACATCCAGTTGAACAGCATGCTTTCCATTACTTCGCACAACAACCTCAGGCTCAGGTCATTCAGCCTGGTGAGTGTCTCTCTCCAATAGTTTCTTCAAAGTTGAAATAACTTCTAATTTGCAGAATATAGTGTGAAACTGCAAGTCAGGGAGCTTCGAGTTTAGTGATGGGTTGGTGAGGAGGTGTGGACTATCAGCGGGTGCTACAGGTTGTTGGGTGTCTTCCTCACAGTAACCCAGACGGTGGTGGTGCAACAGCTGCCGACTGATGTTTCAGGACAGATGATGTGTCCTCGCTGTCAAATCCATGTTGTCACTCAAGTCAGGTACAGAAATGGTATGCTCACCTGGTTGATCTGTGGCACACTAGGAATCTTACTGTGAGTAGAAACCCCAACATACACACACACCACTATAAACTCAGATACACTATAAAACACAATATAGGCATCTAGTGCAATCAACTAATCTTTTCTCACTAAGTTAACAAAAATATCTCAAGTTTTATAAATTTTAAGTTAATTCAACTTAAATGTTCTTGTTTGTATATTTTCAGGCCACTTCGGAACAAATTATTATTTTTTTTTTACTTTAAATGATGAGGAATGTACTGCTGCAATTTCACTCAACTTATTAAATTACATTTGTAAAAAATGTAATCATAGCAGACTTCCCAGCACGCAGTTTTTGAGAAAGAACAAAACTTTTTTGTACTTTGAGGGAAACATTGATAATGGAAACTTGCTGTGTGTATATAATATATGTTATGACCATGGCTTCTTTTAATGATAATAAAAACAATGAAAGCATGATGATGGTTAGTGTGGTTAGTGTGTTGATTTGACAGGGCTCCGGGAGCAGCTTGGCATGTTGGCATACAAGTAACTCGTGTGACGACAGTTCAAATGTAAAATGAAGAACTGACATTTGTCAATGTGACAGAACGGTTGTTGATTCAGCTTAAGATCTGAAGTTTATTGAACTTAACTCAGCTGGTTTTATATTTTCAAAACTCATATCATGATTTTGTACCAATTATTCAAAGCTCTACTCAGAGTTCACTGAGCTCACATTTTTAAGGCAGCAGGAGATATGTGTAAATTGAGCTAGCTTAAGATGATTTATAGTCTACACAATGCTATGAATGTTTTTTTTTTAAAAGTGTTATTTTGACTTAATTTAATGATACTCATGCAGGTTATGGCCTTGCTGTTTGATCCCATTCATTGTGGATTCTTGCAAGGATGTGGAACATTCCTGCCCTGTCTGTAACAACGTCCTGCATATCTATAAACGCATGTGAAACAGCACTGCAGTGTAAACTCTGCTGAAGTAACAACAAAAGGTAGAGAAGTCCAGTATGACTAAATAAACATCAGGAGCCAATCAGATGTCATCATGAACCCTGTGCTCACTTGTGGAACATGCATTACTCTGTACTGTACGTATATGTGAAGATTACACAACAGCTCTGATTTCTTTTCTTTTATCTGTTGATCTAAAATGTGCAATCATGTTGTAAATTGTAAAATTGTGCAAATTGTATTTTTTCTAGACTTGAGTGACATTGTCTTAATTTAATATTGGCTTTCTCAGTGTTGAATTTACGATTTAACATTTTCATGACACACTGACAAAGTAATAATAGCAATTATATAACTTCCATATGATAATCGTAATCGTTAAGTGGGGATGTTTATTGATTAAACTGAAAAAAGCCTTTTATCACAGCAATAACCAAACAAATGCTTGTACTGTGAAATGATTAAAATGAATAAATCCTTAATGAATCACCACTGACATTTAACTTTCACTCTTTTTTTTCTTGACTTTATGACTGAAAGTCGCCTTATACCTTTCATTAGACTAAAGAAAAAGAAAAAAGAATATATGAGATCAAAATGAAATTCTTAGCAGTTAGCATATATATGTGTAAACCATGAGGCAAAATATATATTTTTTAACATCAGATCATGGTTTAACATACCAAAGCAGATGCGAGTGAATATAGGTGGTATTTATCAAACATATTTAATGGTACTTTTGGTGCTTTAAAAGATTGTGAACAGTTTGATTAAATTGTTTAGTGCCATCTACAGGGGTGAGAGAGGAAGAAGAAAAAAACATCTGTCGTATAGTATATTAGTATTATTAGTATATATAGTATAATAGTGTTATTAAGTCTAATTTGTTGTGGTTGTCTGAAGATAATGTGTTAAATTGACTCTTTAATGAAAAGATTTTTGCCTTAGCAACTAAGACAGAGAACACTGTATCCATCATAACAGGACATTTCTGTCATGGTGATTGAATGCTTTGAAATGCTCTCTTTTTAAATTTGTGGATTTGGATATTATGATTCGTGGCCGTCCTGGTTGTTGCATAAGTCCATATGGGCTTGGCACCAGGTGCAGGACACTCAAACAAATCAATCAATCATAGCTTTATGACAATGTATATACATAGAACCTTAAACACAGAAATGAATAAATTAGTGAGTTAATATTGGAATTTAATAGCAATACATATACAATACAAACATTCTCTATTTAAATGACAATGAAATAATGGCAACATGTAGCAGAGAGGCCAAATCATAGAGACAGAATAGATCTAATAGTTAGAGGAGCGCAGATTTAATTCAGTTATTGTGCATGCTTGTTCACTGGCTTGGCTTACTGGTATACTTACATGGAGCAGAGCTATCATTAACAACTGTAGCTCCACCCTCTTAATGTCACAGGTTATTTCTAAGTGTAGCCTATGCTGTATTTGATGGAAAGAGGTCTTCAAATTATCTTTGATTGGTGTAATTTAGTAGAAAATGTAGAACATACTGTATTCAATATAATCTAAAATATAATCAGTATCAGTACAAAATAAGTTTTTTATTTATTTATTCAGTATTTATGATTAATGGTCCAGTGTGTAACATTTTGGAGGATCTGTTAGCAGAAAGAGAGTGTACAATCACCTGAAAGTAAGAATTGTGATTTTGTTGCCTTCAAATGAGCTGGTTTTATTTCCAGAGGGAGTGGGTCCTCTTCCACAGAGTCCACAATGGACAAACAAAGCACTGGGTCTAGATAGGGCCTTTGTTGACTTTATTTGTTCTGATACAGTAGGTGGTGGTATGATTGTTGGTTTGCAATTTCACCAATACACACACAAGAAGAAGAATAAGACAAGAAGAAGAAAAATAGGACAGGAAGTGGCCTAGAAAGAGGTTTGAAATCCCAGCTTTTGAATTATCCATTTGAATTATCTTCTGAAGTAAAATTCCTCTCTATGCTGTTTGTCTATTTGGCTGAAGACAAAACTGAACGTCCCATTTTAAGAGAGCTCTGACTGGAGCTTAGTGTAGTTCTCCAAGTAGACAGCAGGTAGAGCCAACAGACTGTGAGATGCTCACACATCTCATTTCCACTTGCCACTTCCTGTTGAATATGAAGTGCATTGTTTTATTCTGGGTCTCCACTGGCAGTGATAAGGAGATGTTAAAAAAGAACCTTGCAACTCCCTTAAGGGATTTCAACCACCTGAACAAACACATAACTTTAATGAGAAATTAAACCAAGATGACTTAATATCTGAAGACACTGTCTCATGGCCGACACGAGGAAACTACACATCTCAAGCTGTGGATGTTTCTAACTCTGTGTGAAGGAAGGTGCTGCAGTCATAACGCGTAGACCCAGCCCGGCAAGCCTCCCTTTGTGAACTTCCTATGTACCCTCTGTGTGTGATCTCTATGTGGCTGTGTGTGGAGAGCTGTGAGGAGAGTCCTGAGGTGGGATAAAGCTGGGATTATGGGATGGGCCATACTTAACAAGGCCCTATTAGACTGTGACCATAGTAACCACTGGATTACACAGATTAGAACTGATGTCCTGAGTTAGTCAGCACTTCTCTGCCTTGTTGTCTCCTACTTCTGTCGTCTTTTGTCTCTGTCAGAGGATGCGAGACCAAACGGGACAAAACACAATATACCGTACTTCTCTTTGAACGCTTATGCTATTAATTTAATTATTTGAATTTATATGTGTTAGCATATTCATACAGTGATGGCAAAGGCCATCACAAAACAAAGAGTCACTGATGCACAGCATCAGGAGCAATTTGGGGTTCAGTATCTTTGACATGCAACAGTAAGACCTGGGCATTAAACCACCAACCAACAAGTTGACAAGAAGACTTATACCATTCTTATGTCTGTATACTAAATACGTAGCTAGCAGCCAGTTAGCTTAGTTTAGCACAAAGACTGGATACAGGCAGACATGTAATTATGAATCCGACGGCTTTTCTTGGCAAGACCAATGTCCTCCGTAGCATTTAGGCAATAGGATTGGCTAGGCGCCAAAGTCCAACTTCAGGAACAAGGTAGGGGTGAATGAATGAGTTAAGTACAGGACTTTAACCTGGAAGACTTCAATTCCCCTGTGAGATACACTTTTAGACTTTTTTTTGACTAATTTGTATAGCTTTTTAAATAATCTTCAGTTCTCAGTTGCACCTTAGTTAGGTTCAGAATCTCTTGGTTAGCGTTAGGTAAATATGATGGTTTAGGATAAAAGAGATCACAATGTTACCACATTTAAGAACGCCCTGGCAGAACAATTATGCCATTCACATGAGCATGGGCATCTGACCAGAGCTTGAATGCCACACAGGTGTGTCTTTCCATGAAAACGTGAGAGAGAGTTAGCCTGAGTAACTTTCGGGAATCTCCACTGGTTGCCTGGAAACTGGACAAGCAATCGTCCAGCACAAAACCCCCTGTAAAACAGCAAATGAACATTTTTACACTTCAGGTTTTGTACACATTCAACAAAGGAAATATTGAATGTTAATTAGTGAGCTTTAGAGGAGCTGGTAGGTGGATTTTTTTCCATTGGACAGAGCCAGGTTAGCTGACTCCTGTTTACAGTCTACAGTTGCTTAGCAAAATATCTGCAATCGACTAATCAATGAATGGAGAAATTGTTTCAGCTCTAGGATAGACTTGTGACACAGAGGACATTTTGACGTGTCACATTAGAAAAAGCTCTGGTGTACATAATTAAATGAATCCTATTTAGCTGCTTTAGTTTCAGGGTCCTGGTAGTGTGCACGCTGGCTCACTGTCACACTGGAATGACTTACTGGACACTTGAATAGAACAGATCATCGTTAATGCCATTAGTAAAACCTGTGCTACTATGACAAGTCAAAATGTCTGCTGTGAAATACGTTCTTACGTTTCCCTAAAAGTCAGTGAATAAAATAAGGACAATGAACTTGACTCTCACACGCTAACCTGGATTATGGATGAAGAGTTTGGAAGATTTATGTAATGGACTGCTTTGAAAAACCCATTGATCAGTCCATTCTTCTGCTATCGCCAACCGAAGCAGTCACTGCTGCTGCTTATGTGCATGCGAGGACTCCCTATCTGGATTAGACCTTCTTGACTGACACAGCAGGGTGCAGGTGAGCACTCCTTTGCTTACATCTGTTTGTCTGTGAGTTTATTTGTGTCCCACAAACCAGCTTTGGCTTCTCCCATGTTTTGCCTTTATCTCTCACTGAGCTCACAAGTGTCTGTCAGCATCAATCTATCTCACGCTGATCCAAACTGACTTGATTAGCTAGCACAATGGTTGCCCCATGTCACGGTTGTCCTCATGTTGTGTCGCTCTATAAACCCCACATGAAGCCATCTCCGGGAGAGGAGATTACTCCACTCTAAAGGGAGGCTTGGCTGAATCATGTCTTCCAGAGTATTATGTAACACTCTCTACTAGGACAGCCACGTGGCCACAGGGCTCACCTGTGTTGAGACTGACCATCTGCCCCTCCCCATCCAAAGCACATCTTTACTCTGCAACGCACAGACGTCCAACTGCTGAAGAGACCTCCACTTGTTTTGGTGATCAAAGATGAAGCTGCATCTCCCACAGCTCTGTGTGTGAGGACGAATTGTGTAAGTGGCATGAGGAAGACGTGGGAGCCTGAAGGCAGGAAATAACACCGAGATGTGCAAACGAGTGACTAATACTGGACTGGCTGCGAATTACAATGCTTACATACAGCACTTACTTCCTATTTTCTTCCTGGTTAGACAGGTGCATCAGCAAATCATACTCCCCATGTGTGGGTGAAGAGAAGTAAAGCTAGGATTGCATCTCTGTTGACACCTCCGCACATTCAGCGTGGAGCAGGGAGAGAGAAACACACAGACATGCAGACAGAATGAATAGAAAGAGGAGGACAGAGGGAGCGAGAGAGAGGCAGAGACAGTGAGAGGGAAGAGTGAAAGAGAGACAGAAGATATATTTGACTATGTGGGTGTGTGAAGTATCAAGGCATGCATCATAATTGTGGATTCTTCTTGGAGCAGCCGGCCGTATCACTGCAGCAGCAGGACATAATTGGTCTCACAAAGTGTGTTATTTTCTTCTTTATAACAGCGGGAGCTGTGAGCGCAGAGAGCGACACAAGAGACATTTTCAAAGACAAAATGGAAACTGTTTTGTTTTTGCTGCCTCAAGGATTTTGTTAACTGGGATTATTAAAAAAACTAGTTGAAGGAATGCAGACTGTGGAATGATGATGCCTCATCACTGTTAATAATCAAGATCTAAAGTCAACAATTTATCTGAGGTGAGTTTGGAATGATCACGACTGAAGAGTTAAATAATTTTAACGCTGTGCTATTTTATATGTGTGTGTGTGTGTGTGTGTGTGCGTGTTTGTGTGTGCTCTGATTATCCTTGTTAGGACCAATTTGAGTTTTAGACCTTGATAGTGAGAACATTTTGACCTCATGTATTCACTGTTTGAGGGTTAAAACTTGGTATAAGGGTAAAGATTATAATTAGGCTCACATTAAGGCTGGAGAAGGCTTTATGTGAGTCAGGTTCCTCACAAGTATGCACAAACGTGTGTGTGTGTGTGTGCGTGTACGTGTGTGTGCGTGTGTGTGCGTGTGCGCATACCCGCCCATTTCTCTGTGCTTTTCGGTACTGAAACTCGACTTCTCAAAAGCCCAGTATGCAATGTAGTCAGCCCACGCTGTTTCCCGTTCCCATGGAAACCATTGCCCAGTGCTAAAAGCAGTTCTATTCTGTGCTGTGAGTGCGTGTTTGTGTTTGTGTTTGTGTGTGTCTGAAAGAGAGAGAAACATATTAATCTCTGATGTATAACAGGCTTATTGGATCTTAATATATAATATATAATATCTTGATAAAGAGTGTTGTTTATACTGTATATTGTGAATCTTGAATGTAGTATGAACTAATATTCAGTAATTGATTACTACATTCACCTTCCTGCCTCCCTCCTCTCTGGATCTTTCTCCAAAACATCACTCCTCTTGTTTATCTCTGTGTACTTTTCTCCCTCTCTTTCTCTCCTTTAACCCTTGCTCCATCTCTCCTCATAACTACATATTTTCTGTCTCTGTGTTTTAAGATGGCCGTCAGCCTTATTATCATCTGCCTCTTGTCACTGATTGGCTATGGCTCATCCCACCCGTCTCCTCCTCCTCGGGGATGCAGTGTGGATGTGGACCCTCCGTACAGAGTTCTGTGTGACCTGGAGTCAGTCTGGGGTGTGGTTCTGGAGGCCGTGGCCTGCAGCGGTGGCCTCAGCTCTCTGATCCTCACTGTGCTTCTGCTAGTAAAGCTCCGCTCCATTTCTGACCCTGCCAGGCGCTCCGGAATGGGGCCTCTTCTCTTGCTGCTGGGCACGCTCCTCGGGCTTTTCTCCATCTCACTGGCTTTCCTGGTGGGGAAGAACCAGGCGCTCTGTGTGGTCCGCAGGGCCTTCTGGGGGCCCCTTTTTGCCCTTTGCTTCTCCAGCTTGCTAGTGCAGGGTGTGAGGCTCAGAAGGCTGGTGGCTGGCAAGACGAGCCCATCAGGCAGCTCCCTGGCAGCCCTCGGTCTGGCCTTGGCCTTGGTTCAGGGGATCATCTCTGCTGAATGGGTCTTGCTGACTGTAGTTAGGGAGGGTCACCCGGCCTGCGAATATCCACCGTTAGACTTTGCTCTGACATGCAGCTACACCCTGGGGCTGCTCCTCATCGCCATGGGGCTTTCTTTGGGGGTGGTACTGTGCGGAGGAGAGATGGGGGCAGACGGAGCAGGAGGGAGTGAAGAAGATAGAGAAGGAGAAAGTGAAAAACGGAGATGGAAGTGTAACGCCGTCTGGCTCTTCCTGTCCAGTCTGGCATCAGCGTTGCTGTGGGTGGCCTGGCTAGGCTTTTATCTTTATGGCAGCCAGGTGCTGAGAGGAAAGGGGAAAGGGGATAGATTAGGAGGAGGAGGAGGAGGAGGAGGAGGAGGAGGAGGAAAAAAGGATGTAAAGGTGTTGGATGAGCCTGCGCTGGCGGTGGCCTTGGTCATTCAGGGCTGGATCCTGCTGCTGTTCCACGCTATTCCAGAGGCGCACCTCTGTCTTCGGAATCCTCCACAATCCAACACGCAGGACTTCTTCGACACCAGTCACACGTCCCCTCCTCCACATTTTGGAGATGAGCTGCCTGCACACTCACACCGACCCTTCCCAGAAAACCAGGCCTTTTCTATGGAGGAGCACGGTGCAAGTAGGCTTATGTAATGTGTGTGTGTCACTGTGCATGTTTGCATGAATCTGTTTCAAAGGAAATCCTTTTCTGTCGAATGCTGCCTTCAAATGCAACTCAGCGGGTCGTATTTTCAACATGTTAAGTTGAGGTCAAAATATGTTTAGTGTTTTACAATAACTATAATACTGAGAACATTGTTGCCAGGCAACCGACAACAAAAATGGAAGTTTCCTTGATTCCTTGACTTTGTTTTCTGCATTCAATGTCGTGCTAAGGTAACTAAAGTAACTAACTTTCATGGAGTCTGACATTTTAATATCAATTCAAAGCTATATCAGAATCAGAATCAGAATCAGAAATACTTTAATAATCCCAAAGGGGAAATTACTTTCGTTAGATACTCCAGAACATAATATATTAAGAATATATATATATATATATATTGTGTACTGTATTTACAAAGTGTCTTATCTTACCATTAGGAGTGTTCCTAAATGTCACTAAAAGTTCCCAGCAAAGAGTTTCCTCTTAAGAGCTTTTTACAATCCTGCAGAAAGAAACATGCTCTGAGGAAACTCCTAACTAAGAGAAGGGATGACATCATATTTCAGCCACAGTTATTGGTTGACAGTTGACCAGTCTTTGTCAGTGAAATGGATTTGGATTTGAATTTGGTAAAAACAATAGAAATTAAATTAATTAAAATGCAAAATGTAAATTACACATTAAAATAAATTTAAATATGATTGAATCCAATTACATGATATCTAAATTAAATACATGTATTATACATTAATCAATTTAATTTCATTAAAACAAAATTATATAAAATAAAATAATTATTATTCAATTATGCATAAAATGCATTTAATAAAAAATCATTACAATATTCAAATTTGTCTAAACTTTCAATTAAATGTTACTTAAATAGACAAGAAAAAGCTCACAGTTAAGCCCCTTATTTTATGTTTCTCCTAACTAGCCTCTGGACGTTCGACCCAATTCACTCAGTAGAAAAATCTCATATCTTAAAAAAAAAATGCATAAAAACTGCCCAAACCACTCCTGCAGCATAATCCACACTTTGTATGTAAGAGCCATATTTTTGTTTACCCAACAGTCATATTTTTTCTTTAGCAGGTGAGTACTCAAACAAAAAAAGATTCAGACTCGCACTTCAAATGTGACTTCTTCTCTAAACTTCCATCCATGGTGAAGCAGATCAATGTACCATTAAGATGACCATATCACCATACTACCATGAGTGTCGTGTACGTTTGTTTACAAAAAAGTGAAGCTCACTTTAAGCTACTGTACACAATCAAAAATCCAATTAAACCTTACGAAATGCCTGATTATCCAACAGGCTCACAGGGAAATGTATGAGTCATTTCACTTTGATTGCCCTCCATATTTATCTGATGCCAAATGCACAGATGAAGAGCTAAACCACAATCAACCAGGATAAACAAAGAGTGTAGGCAGTGGCAGGATGCAATCATAAACAGCGTCTTGCAAGACAGCAGACTTCAGGAGACTCATGATACTGGTTGGCCAATTCATGGCTGACTGAGGAGGAAAACTGCAGTCAATCATACAGGGAGGAAAGCCACGTAACACGGTGTAAGCTAGTCACTAGAGGATTTACTTTGTGTTTGAAAGGTCAGGGTTAAGGCATCTGTTACTTGTCCTAATGGACAGCAAACTCTCTGTAATCTCTGCAGTAGAGCCTGTGAGTTATGTGCAGGGATGGAAGTAACAAATTACAACTACTCACTGTTATTAAGTTATTTTTTGGGATATTTTTACTATTAATAGTACTTTTTTCAAGCCTCTTAATCAAGTATTTACTATATATACACAATCTAATATACTAACTACTTTTAAAATCACAATTCACGACTGAGTGGGCCTACAATTTGAATCACATCCTCCTTTTCTGTTTGCTTCTTTTCAGCGTCCGTGTTAATCAGTTGGGCCGTTCAGACAGAGCTTTCCATTCTGGCTCGCAATCTGCAGCGATAGTTCCGACATCTGGTCCATTTTTTCCACATGTCACAAGCTAATCTAGCAAGAAAACACACTGTGGGCCAATAAAAACCACAAAAAAAAAACACCCCACTGCAGCAGGCATAAGTTGGGAGAGGTCACACTGAACAGTGCAGGTGTTGGGAGTAATTTAGGGACTGAAGATTTGGAGCAACACAAACCAAAATGGAGACAGATTAAGCCCCTGCCTGTTCAAAAACATTTTTCGTTTTGCATGTACCAGACAAAATTCCTGATTTATCTGTATATCGTATCATTAAACATAAAATAGCAAATAGACATAAACATTATTGAGTCAGTTCTTTCACACTATGTTTAGCATGTAACTATTTCACTGGTTTTAAAACAAGATGTGAACACAATGCACCTCATCAGAGGACATGTGTGTTGTCCCCTTCTTGTGGTTCACTCGCTCACAGTCTGGCCGCCTAATGATGATATCTTGAAGCATTGAAGCAAGACTGCAATGTTGGGAAATAAATGGAAATGTTATTATTCTTCTAATATCCCGTAATTTTCACTTGTGGCGGCAGTGTTGCAATGTTCCACATTTTATGAATGTGAAAATAACGGTTGTGCAACACTACAGCTGTCAGTGATGACGTGAAATGACGCTGATTGATAAGTGTCCACACTCTCTATTTACTGCTCACTACAGAGATAACTAATGAGTGTCAATTAGGGATTAATGAATGAGTGAACAATGGGGGTGAGTTCAGCCATAGTGTCACTTTAAAGGCTCTGCATGCAGGTGTTTTTAATGATTCTGGTTAGCTCTGTTCAGGTTGAAGGCGGGTGGAGCTGTACTTAGACAGAGTTGCAATTAGGACAGTCTGCTGGTTCTGGAAGTTTTTATCCTCTTCTGTATTTCCATTTTTTTTTTTAAGTATATATTTTTTTGGCTTTAATGCCTTTATTTGATAGGACAG